ATAGCCATGCTTCCTCACTTATGTGTGGTCTAGGATTGTTTTTAGCTACAACAGCAGAGTTAAACAGTTAAGCAGAGACAGTGTGGCCTACAAAGCCTAAATTATTATCAGACCTTTTGCAGAAAAAAAATTGCCAACAAGCTTACTTAGTGTAACCCAGCCCTGAATTTCCTCTGTTTCCAAATGACCACAAATACTACACACAATGAAATTTGGAAGCAGCCAACCTAGATATCCCCATCCCATACGGCAGGTTCCGAATCTTTCCCTGTCTGGGTCCTCACCTTGGTACAGCGAACTTCTCTGACTGTGGGTTTCACCTTCTTCTGAGCTTGGCAACTCTGATCAAGTCCAAGGTCGGGTCCTCATTTTTTCCTGCTCTCTACTGCAAGAGATCAGAGCCTCTTTGTATGCTGCGAAGGAGGCCCTACCTGGGCTTTCTCAAGTAGCTTTCACTTGGCAATTAATTGGTTTCAGCGTTTTATCTTTTTCCAGAGGGCCAATCAAGCTTAGCAACAGCCTCCCTCCTGATTTTGTTTCCTTTTTAGTCCCTATTTCTCCCTAATTCTCAAACATCTGATATATAACATTAGCTAAGGTATTCCTTTCCACTGGTATACCATTCATCACCAAAGTCTTAACAAATGGACCATCGCATTGTCCCAAAGGCTAATTGTGCTCAATCTACTACCAGCATTGGGGTCCTCATTGTAAACAGGTGGTGAATGATCCAGCTCCAAAACCTGATCTCAGTGGCTTCTTTTTAGGACCACATCTGTTTAGGGTTGCAGGACTCCCAGTCAAATTAGAATTTCAGACAAACAAGTTTTAATTGTAAATATATTCTGTACCATACCTGGGACATACTTACACTAAAAATGTTGTGATTGTTCTTTATCTCAATTTAAGTTTTAACTGGGCATCCTGGAGTTTATCTGGCAACTCTACAATAGGTTGGGTTTCCCAGGAAGCAAGCTCTGGGATGGAGTTCAGCCAGGAGGATGTCATTGAGAAGTGCCCTTGATTCAGCACCTGTGGAAGGGAGGATGGAAGGGCAGAGGGAAAAGTCCATTTTTTTCATTATTAGAGTCAGTTTTATTGTAAATTCGTTACATTGCTAAGAACCATTTTTGGGGATGTGAAGTGTTAACCGCCTAATCAAACAGGCCAGCAGACAGAAACTGTGGTGTGGTGTCCCTGATGCAGTCCCTCAACCCTCGAATAAGGCTGCAAGAATCTGATTCTCCATAAGGATGAACTGTAAAAGTAACAATAATTTATCAAGAATTATATCATTTTCATAGCATTTGTCATTTGACACAGAAAAATCAAAGGAGGTAAGTAATACTATTATACATTTTACAGATGAAACAGAGGCTGAGGGATTAAGATACCTGCCCAAATTCACACCAATTCAGTTTTTTAAAATCTGTCTTATTTTATTTTAGATCAAAATGTTATGTTCTTTCCAATTGCTTTGCCTATGTCAATAAATTAGCAGATCTTCACTGAGTTTATGTCTGTCTCTAGTTCTAGTTACTGGTTTCTACATTTTTCGGGTTTTCCTATAGAGAACACATAGTCCGTATCAACGACTTTTCAGTATTCAGGAGTCAGCAAATTCCAAGAGTTTCAACAGAGGAGCAACCAATGTAATTCTTCCACAATATTGCTTTGGGTTGTTATTTTTTCTTGTAAATGTTACATGTAAATCAACAGGAGGTAAAAATAAGAATACACTTGTTTCAACGTATGACTTATTTTATTGACTAACGTTAAATAAACGGCAACCAAAAGAGAGACATTCACCATGATTCATTTGTTGTTCAGAATTGTTCAGATCTGTGGTTACAGATTGGACATCCCATCTTTTAATAGTGTGCTTGCTACACCAGGTCCCAGCAGCAGCGGAGAAACTGAAAAGCCCTATCACATACCTCTTCATGTGGTTTGACATTAGTCACAGACAAAATGTACCTTGAAGTTGGAAAGTGACTCCTGGCTCTTCAAGGATCATAGCGTCTCATTGGCCCCTCACTTAGCAACCTTGAAGGGAATGACTGCGAAGGGACCTAAGCCCGGAACTCATTTTAATTTTTTATTAACATTTATTTATTTTTGAGACAGAGAAAGACACAGAGCATGCTCAGGGGAAGGGCAGAGAGAGAGGGAGACACAGAATCCGAAGCAGGCTCTCAGCTGTCAATACAGAGTCCAAGGCGGGGCTCAAACTCCTGAAAAGGAGATCATGACTTGGGCTGAGGTCAGACGCTTAACTGACTGAGCCGCCCAGGTGCCCCTGAACTCCTCATTTTAAAGCTTTCACCCCAGAACTCTTTCTCTGTCATAACATCTGTGCTTAGTGATCCACTTGAGACCATGACCACCTGCACGGCTTTGATACGACACGTTATCACTTTGAGAGAAAATGCTTTGAAATAGTGTCTGGCCTACATTTGAGGTTGGGAGGACAGTTTTATTTACTTTCCAGGGGAAAGCTATCTATTTTAGATTAAAGAAGAATTAGGAAATTATCTGCTTTGATTCTGACATCAGAAGTGCAGATATTTGAAAAGTGCTTTAAAGCAACTTTGATTATAAGTGACAATGTAAACTTCTAAAATGGTATCTTGACTTAAAAACATTAGGTTGTACATTCTACTTTAGCAGTGAGCCCAAGCCTTTTTTTTTTTTTTTTAATAAAGTAGTATTTGCAGGCAAGAAGGAGTAAAATCTGGATTCTTTGCCTTGTGTAAAGACAAACCTTCAACCCTATTATATTGTTACTTACACCTTGCTCAGACTCAGTTATCCCGATATTAGTCCTCCATGGGGAAAAAAAAAATCCCAGTATGAACTTCCCTAGCAGTGAGTATATAATCCCATACCCACAATTAAGGGAGTCAGGATAGTTCAGATATCAAGACTGAGGTTTCTAAAAATTTTTTTCTGAAAGGAATATGTGCTAATTCAACAAGATTCTTTGGTTGCTACCATATATATAATTAGTATTGGATGTATATATTACTAATACCACTATTACTATGAAACTGTATTCATATCCAGGTTCCCTATGTCCAGAAACAGAAACACATATATTCAAATACTTTAAAAGACTAGTATTCTCTAGATGCATTGATCTTAAGTATGAAACTATTTTGCTTTGTTACAAAACATGAATCTGAAGAGTATTTTTTTTTAAGCTATGCTGACAGGACACAACCAATCTAACAGAGAAGTGAAGAAAAGCTTTCAAATATCCATTATTTTGAGAATACAACAACAAAGAAGTCCCCAGTAGCTGCCTAAGTGTTTTCAGGGGGTGGGGAGATTTAAATACCCAAATATGTATAGCCCATAAGTTTCAAAATGCTTCCATTAAATAAGTGATCAGGCCACACTCGGGGCCCCCAAGTATGAAAAACCCTGAGTGTGTGGCTCTCCTCCAACACACACACGAATTCAGTGAAGGCAAACAGATAAAAAAATCTTTACATAAGATTTCTCTGGGTCCCCTTCCTTCCTGGCTGTGGGACCCCAGTAACTTTCCAGATTCCTCTCTCCTCTCAGCAGCCCTGCCCATACACCAAGGCTGCAGGATGTCTGAAGAACTGAATCGGCAGAAAATACATACTTAAGGGCATTCAGGTGCAAGTTAAACTGGATTTTTCTCCTAGCTTCCAATGGGATCAGATGACATCCTTTGAAACTACATTAGGGAAAGAGCGGTTTACTAACCGCTTTGGGGGAGGGCCGCTTAATTTTATGCTGTTCTCACCCTTCCCCTCGACCAAACACTCAAACCGTATTATTACTCTTTCTTTGTCTGGAATAAAACAAAACATAACAAACAGCCTCTGGCAAATAAGCCCTGCCAACAATCAGCCTCACTTTATAGCCCAGAAGCTGGCAAACTTTTGGTGTAAAGGGCCAAAGGGTAAATGTTCTAGGCTTTGCAGGGCCCCTACTCAACTTTTTCGCAACAACTCAATTCTGCCACTGTAGAGCAAAAGTAGTCACAAATTCTGATACACAAGCAAAGGCGAGTGACCCTGTTCCAATACAACTTCACAAAAACTTGCAATGGTCTAACTTTGGCCTAGGGGCCATGGTTTGCCCGTCCCTGTTCTAGATAATAACCACAAATGGTGCCTCTTCCAAAAACTGCAAAGGGCTTCCCATGGTTCTAGCCAGATTAATGCCTACTCACATAATATTTAGTAGTTGATAGCAGATACGTAGCAGTGAAAGCAGCAGCCAGGGTGACGTGAGGATTCAGTGTTTGTGATCTACAGCAGGATCAGAGACTGATAGGAACCTGGAAGTGCCTGTTTCTGTTTCATTAGCAAGCCTGAGCATGTAGCTGTGCCTGGCTTTTTTAACTTCGGAGCGGCAAACGCGAGCCCAGGATGATGCTCATTCCAGTGCTGTGGTGGCTGGTGCGGACGCAGAGAATGGTAGTAAATTATGGGTGATGTGGTCCCTCCACAGCCTTAAAGGGTCCACGCAGCTTCCCAAGGCACTGAACACAAGTCACTACTAAGGAATTCATTGCTCAAAAGTGTTCGGGCTTATCTCGGAGGTAAATTTGCTCAGCATGTGGCTAAAAACCAAAAAACCAAACCAAATATGTAACAGCTGTGAAAGCAGTAACAGCCGAGAAGCACAGAAATCCCTACAGGTGGAGGGAATCTTGCCAGTCATCTTTGGCAGCCCTTTCATATTACCAGTCAGGAAAACAAGGCTCACAGAGAGAAGGGTAACTTGCCCAGATAGTCTGTGGAGAAATCACCAAATCATAGCCATCTTGACCTCCAGTTTGTTGCTATTTTCCTCTAAGGAATCTGAATTTAAAGGGGGTTCCCTGACCATATAAACACTCATGTCATGAGATTATGACAGCTAAGGACCTGGTTCCCCTAAAGACAAGTTTTATGTTGGGATATTCATGGTACCAGAGAACATCTGAAACTTGTCAAGGGGGAACAGAATGCATCTCATCACTGGTTTATTGTAGCTGACAAAAACCGCACAGGATAAAGCATTAAATGACCATCTTCCCATGAATATAAATGCTGGTCTCTCATATTGTAGGATAACATGGCAAGAACAGACTGGGAAGTTCTTAAATTAAAGTTTGCATTGATCTGTTTCCCTCCTAACAAATCAAAGGCAAATGTTATCCTCAGATCCTTGGTGTCCGTGACATAAAGGATCCCTTGGGCAATGAAGGCGTTACCGGCCTTGGTCTTGGGGTATGTGGTATTAATGTGTTGCACCACAGAGAATGTCCTCTCATCCAACTGGGCGACAAGAATGCTTGAGCCATCCACACTTGAAGCATAGATAATCCAAAGACCCTTTTCATCCACAGCTAAATTGAAGTAAGTCTTGGAATTTGCAAAGAGGTATTTTCGATCAAAATACAGGGCATTTTCAAGTTTCAGAGTTTGGGATGTTTCTTTGCCAAACTCAAATCTGAAATGTGAAAAAGGTAGATATGAGTCAGCATTTTTGTGGACAATGGTAGGTTTTTTGTTTTTTGCTTTTTGTTTTTGTTTTGCCTCCTCTATTAAACTGGAGTGGGGCTTGGGATTCTGCATTTCTAAATTCTAGGTCTACTGGTTTACCCACAATGCTCTGCATACCAAGGATGTAAAGGATGCTGACTACATCTAAAGTGTCCACCTTCGTGCCACGTGCCCAGGAAAATTCCTTACCCTCATGACTCCTCAGTTGTTTGCCAACCTCCTGAATGCCCTAAGATTCTTAGATCTGCAAGGGGCCTTAAAAAATGATCTAGTCCACTCTTTTCATTTTACACATGAGAAAGTGACTAGCCCAGGAATATGAGTAAGTAGCCAGAGTTAGAATTTAGGTTTTCTAACTGCAATTTTGGGGGTTCTTCCTCTACCCCATGCTGGAATTTTTACGACAAAAATGTCACAGTGGTCTAAATGGAGAAGAAAGTTGTCAGCTGAGAAGAAACGTAGCCAAGTCAAGGCCATGCAGTTTTTTTGTCAGGAAAGTGACTGGATAAATTCAGCTACAGCATGGAATCCCATGCCCTCAGCTCCTGGAGGCTGTCTGACCAGGCAGACTCCAAATCCAGACCATATCTAAAAGTTGATTATGATTCAAAAGTTACCTAATTCCAGGAATGAAAATTCACGAACGTTAGGCTAAATGAGAAGAAAAACACAAGAGGGTGCCATTGAGCAGGAGAAGAAATAGGGGAAGCATGAATCTGCAGATATGCGGTGGAGCCTAAACTAACAAACTTGGAGTCAATCAAGAGACCCTGAGGTAAGTGTGAGAGACACCAGAGAAAATAAGGCCTTGAGTACAGCCTGCCTGCCCACCTCTGCTTCTTCCTCTGAATGTCTGGAGCTCAGAACTGCCAATCAGTCCATCAGTACCGTTGGTCTGGTACCTAGCAGCTGCATTTCTTGAGGAGGCCTGACCCCTCACAGGAAAAACAGGGTCTTATTCCAGCCTGCCTGCCCCCTGGCCCCACCTGTGGCCTGGCATAGAGCAGGCCGAAGTAGTGTGTCAGACACACGTAGCTTCATTAGAAGACACTCTTGGAGAGGCCAATCCTCTTTCTGGGGCTCACTCATCCTGGAACTCCCTTACCACCCTCATCCCTATGTAAAAAAACAGTGCTGTGGCAGTAGGGAGCTGCAGAATTAAATGAGGAGAAATGTCATGGGAAGGAATGTGTCTGGGGAGTACTGGCTTCTGAACAGGAGGTGGGTTGGTTGTTGTTTGCTGTTAACACAAGACTCTGCCCAATGAGGTAGCCAGGGAGATATGGAAATGATGGGGAGGCCTGGGAGAGGGAGATGAGAGGGGGAGGAGGAGATGCTTCCAGCCACAGCTGACATGTGTCCCACCCCCATCCTCACCCACACTCAATGCCAGCAAGGTTGTTGCGATTGGACCTCACCAAGTGGAGGAGGGCCGTGAGGGCAAGGGAAGAGGGACCCAGCCCTCTCTCAGGTCCTTATCTCTTGTTTTGGATGACTAGGACCATGGCTTTCATAATACTGGAATTATCTCAGATAAGGGTACAGCTGGAGGGCTGCAGACCACAGGAGGTGGTGTCTTGTCTGAGGCCATGGAGTGAGTAGGAGAAGTTGGAACCTGACTTGAGCTCCCTACTCTCTTCATTTCCCAAGATGCCCTGCCTCGGCCCAAAACCTGATTTCTTCTTGAGCCACAAAGACAAAATTTTAGCAATTCTTTTGGGGAGTCAGGAAGACATGGCTGCCACCCCGAGCACAGCTTACCCAGGTGACCACTTTCCTTCCCCTTGGTAAGCAGAGAGGAAGACAGGTGGCCTGGCAAGGGCTCCATCAAGATGACAGATCAATCTGAACGCAAAGTTCCCTGGCTTTGCACTGTCATCCTTAGTCTTCAATGATCTCAGCTGGGACATGAAATTCTTCACACCCAAAGTTTTTCAGAAACTTTGAGTGTGTGTGAACCTTCCTGGCTAGGGAGAGCTAGGTTCTGGCTGCTTCTTTTCTCAAAGGATGACAAAGCTGCAGCCCTAATCACACCAGGTCTACTTCTCTCTGGCTCTGACCTTAGTCTTGGTGTCCCAAGCAGCAATGTTGCAGATCCCAGGTCAGGGCTGGGTCATGGGGCTCACTCACTGTTTCCTGTGGTTCAGTCAGAAAACCCTGACTGACCTCTGTGTGCCAGGCTCTGGGGACAGGAAGATGATGGCACCACAGTCCCAAACCCTAAGTAGCTCTCAGATTACTAAAGCACCACACAGGTGCTGTCTGGGATGCGGAAAGACAGCTGTGACCCAAATGACTCACCTCACTATGGTGTTGGAGCCTCCTTTGTGGTAGTAGAGACAGTTGTTGTGAACGGCATGCCCGCAGCCATGGAAATAATATGGGAGATGCACGAGAGTGTAACTGCCATTCAACAGGGAGGGTTGGTCTTTGAATTCCTTCACCCTGATGCCTGCAGGGGGAAAGCCAGGGAGAGGCAATCACAGCTTGGGAGTGAGTCAGGGGAGAGAGTTAGAAAGAGGGAACTTGAGAGTGAGGTGTCCTGCAAGGGTTCATGTCCAGGTTAGAGTCTCAGACTCCCAAACTCAAAGTCCAGTTTTCTTCTCTGGATTCCTAAACCATGCTTCAAAGGTAGGAGCCACAGAGTTGGCTTTACTCCTCCTAGGAAAACTGTATCACTCCCTCCCAGCATACCCTAGATTGTTTATAAAATCTATCAGACCGATATAGGCCTGTACTGGGAATAGCAAACACTTGGCACTTGGGCAGTCACCTCCTGCCTCCTCCTGCCACTGCTAATTCACAGTGTTCCTCTTTCCTTCTGAGCCAGCGTCCTTCTTGGCTGGCAACCCACGCAGTCACTACCCGCTGATCACTTGGCCCTGATGAAATGAAGCAGAGTGTCTCAGCTATCGCTCTGACCAGTGAATATGGTCAGACCCCTTCTGGAATGAGGCTACTGCTACCCTCACTGGCAATCCCTGACCACGTCCCTCTGGGGCAGTATAACTAGGGTCATGCTTAGATGCAGTGTGTCTGCAAGATGGCACTTCACCTTCTCCCCTGGGCTCTCTGTCCAACAGATATCTGAGAAAGATGGCCAAAAGTACTCTCCTTAAAGAAAGATGGACAGTGCACAAGAATTTGTCTGATATTTCTTCCACATTATGGTTTGGGGCTTTTTAAGACTGGAGTCATAATGATATTTGCTTCCTTCTGGATAAGCTAAGTTGGGAATACCCCGGTCATGTCCTTGTGACCTGAACTGCAAGGCTTGTCACCAGTGTGCTCAACTGAGAAAAGTGTTCTGCCCACTCATTTGTGCTGTCTGAAATAAAGAGCAGTTCTGTGACACCAGTCAGCAGGGATTTCAGACACACAGAGATAGAAGAAGCCTGAAGGCAGGCAACAGATTAAAGGCACAACTACCACAATGATGTGGGTCATTGTCAAGTGAAGGTACCTGAGAAATGTTCAGTCACCCAGATCCGCTCATCACTCTTGTTAGCAGACTCTCTTATCCAAGTCCCAAATGTCTCTTTAACTTTCAGTACTTGTGTTGGATTTCCAATGGAAGCGATCATGGATTCTGTCAAAAGAGGAGAAAAGAAAGTCATTCACCTACCAATTATGACTTTAGGACATCCAATTTCTGAATTTCAAAACAAGATGCTTTGCCTCTGCACCTGCTTGCGGAGAATGGTGTTCCCCACCTTTCTCATCAGCTTTTCCAACCAAGGTATCATCATTTGGTATGGCGCATGTCTCCCCTAAAACAACGACAACGGCAATGATC